TACGTACGTTCGTTACTTCTACTACTACTAACTAACCTAACCGAACCGACGTACGTACGTAGTACGACACTACGTAGTAGTAGTAGTAGTATATACTACACCTACTCTCTCTCTCTCTCTCTCTCTCTCTCTCTCTCTCTCTCTCTATTGACCTTTCCCATGAGTGATACTGGTGTCTCCACCTTCCTTTCCTCGAGGCTCCTCTCTCGACTTGAATATGTAACTCTTGACGACCGCTTCTGCTGAATTTATTGCTTTCTTGATCTGTCATGTGCCATCCAATTATAACAGGTTTGCAAGGAAAGAATGACATATGACTAAGATCACAATATTGAGAAAAAAGAGTGTTATCACACAAATTATATGAGATTTAAGAGATTTGGGATAATTCAACATGACAAGTATTCAAAGAACCACGAATAACCGGTCAACAATAGTATAGCAAAAAAGAAAGACACAGGGAACCAAGTCAACCTTCTCTCAAAAAAAAGAAAGACACGGTAGCATCTCTCCAAGCCAGGCCAAAATGCAGAACTTGTTTGTTTTAATTATTGGTTCTAAAATAAACAGTACAACTAACATTTACAAGTAACCATGGAACAAGGAAAGCAAAAGAGTTGAAAGAACAGATAATGAAAGATGAAATGTCAAAAACCAAAATAGAAAATGGAGAAACCATCAAGTATGTAGGATCAAATATATATTTCTGGTCAATATCATCAAGTATATAGGATCAAATATATATTTCTGGTCAATATATATAAACATAAAATAAGGACTTATATCAGGGGTGGGTATGTGTGTGCATGAGAGAGAGAGCATCGAGAACCATTTTTATGAGAGAATGCAACAGAAAACCATCTCATCATTATCAAAGCATTTTACCAACTATTTGGGGCAAAAGAAAACATCTAAATAATCTAATTGTGTGATTGTGGGAGAGAAGGATATTAAACCATCTAAAATGTTTGTACAGCAAGAACACAGCGTGCATCTGTGCATATTTATACATGTGATCGTGTCCAAGTGAGAGAAATAGAGATTGTAGTTCGACCCTTGAAGGGGGGGAACTAGGGCAATTTTGAAAATAAAAATGACTAAAAAGGGGAAATTTAAAAAACTCCAGACTATTTTAAATTTCGGAAAAAACAAAGTGATCCGTATGATAATTTCCCAAATGCACGCGCGCCTCATGTGCGTGCTTGCGTGTGTGTGTGTGTGTGTGTGTGTGTGTGTGTGAGAGAGAGAGAGAGAGAGAGAGAGAGAGAGAGAGAGAGAC